GGTGTAATGTACGATGAATTTGGTGACAATGCGTTAAAACACTTTGCATAACGCAATTGGACGATAGTCATTAAAAGATAGAGAGTGTGAAATTTTAGGAATTGGTGTTATGTTTGCTAATTTCCATTGATCAGGGAAGTAACTATTTTCTATTAGACGGTTAAACAGGATATTGAGTGATGAGGCAATTTCTAAGCGAGCAGATTTGAATAAAATTGGGGAGAGATCGTCAGGTCCTGGTAATCCTGTCTTTAGTTTGCTGAATTGGTTGAGAATGTTATTAATGGTAAAAATGGGGGTAATAGGTTGATGAAGAACGAGAGGTTAGGTTGTTTTTTATCGCTCCTAACATTTTGGAAATGGTCGTTCAATTGGTTTGCTAATGTGTCAGAGATAGAATGAGTGATTTATCTTTTATTGGTAAGCCCGACTTCTCGCCAAAAATTTATTTTACCGGAGAAGAAGCGTCTGTTATAAACACTTTTTCTTTTGGTGATTAGTTTGGTGACTCGATTTGCAAGTACTTTCCACTGAGAATAGTGACCTGAAGAATAAAGTTGCTGACGTTTTTTTATAATGCTCTGAATAAACGGAGTCATCCAAAGTTTGGGGTTGACAAGCGTTATAGTTCTCAATGGTTGGCAGATGTCTTGAGCATAGAGTACAGAATAATAAAAGTTGTTGCTAGCGGATTGCATTTCATACGATGAATCAACTAGAGTTTCAAGATCGGTACATCGTATTAATGCAACAGTATCAGCAACTCTACCTGACCGATATGTAACCTTTCGGGAGCTAGTCGAGTGGTTTTATAGAGTTGAGTGGGGGCTGACTAACTAAAACAAGGTGGTCTGAATTTCCAAAACTTGGTAGGGTATTGGATACGTAGCATTTTGGAGCGTTACTTAGGATGATGTCCAGAATTGCCGATTTCCGGGTAGGTTGTAAATTAAGGTGATTGAGCTAGTGAGAACGGCAAATAAAGTCAGTAGGGCAACCAATTAGATCTCCTGCAAGAATTATAAGTGGTTTGTTGCTAATGATGATGATGATAATGATGATGAGTTGTGCAAGTTGATATGATGCTTCATGTGTATTTTTAGACCAAACCGGGATAAATGCACATATTATTAGACAAGAGGAGTATCCTTGGGGCATGTATTTTGGGTACACTCGAGCAATAGTTAGTTCAATTTCTTGTTCAGGTACTGAATTAGGCAGGAAGTTGGTTGTCGGTTTTATCTTTTCTATTTTATCTGAATATTTTTTTTTTTATAAATATAATACTGCCACCACCTTGGCAATTCTGACGTTCAGAGCTTATGTAAGTGTAATTACTATTGACTTGAGAGAAAATAACTTGCTTATCAGCAGCGCTTAGCCACGTTTCAGTTGTGTCACGTTTCAGGTACCTGTGAGAAACTTATTAAAGATCTCGATTTTGTTACAAAGTAAACGCATGTTAGCGGTGAAGATGGTTGGAATGCGATTGGTGTTGGCTGCTGAGCTAACTGGTTGATGAGAAGTGAGGATTGAGGGCACTGCGGATCTTGACGATTGCTCCATTGCGGATGCCCCAGTGAAAGGGCGCATCAGGGTTATCAATTCGAAATTCATCATTACGAGTGTTGCAGTCTTTGCGTAGTTGATACTCAGGCTCTCTTTCAGCTGGTGACAAGTCAGGACTGACTGAGTATTTCTTGAAGATTTCATGTGTAGCAAGTTTTCGAGAGTTCATAAGAGCAATTTTTTTGGCAAGCTCCTTAAATTCTACTATAATGGGCCGACTATTTGATAACTTTTTTGTGTTTAAGCGCTTGGAGAAACTAACATCATCATTGGTAAGGCCTAGTACTGTTAGGACCTCTGTGATGCAGTTTAACCTTGCTGGCAGTGCTTGGGAAGCACCTGCTGCATTGACTGGTTCAGATACACCAAATGTTATAATATTTTTCTCACGCTTAGCTTGTTTTAGTTCGACTAGAGCTTGACCAATTTGTGGCGATGCGTTTGGCTTGTTTCTGACAATACTAATCCAGGATAGCTCGTTTGAACTTGCTTGGGTGACTGATTGAGTGTTGAAAATATTTTCTATAACAGCTAATTTTTGTTCGAGTTTTTTTATTTGGTTGGCTTGCAAGTAGATAGTTGCTTTCTGTTCTGAAATGATGTTCATGAGCTCCATTATCCAGATATCAAGGTGGGCGATTGATGGCGCTATGTTTTTAACAGCCGAGTAACCATTGGCATCAATTTTATTAACCATATTGCTTTTTAATTAATTACACCACTTCAAATTTTTTGATAGGAGGGCTACCACCCTATGACAGTGGATTACCTCCGGGTCGTGAAATTATATATCTACGCAAACGAATGTAGCTTATTACACAGGTACTAAAAAGTTTCAGTTTGTGTTTTTTTTCCGATATATATATATATATATATATATATATATATATATATATATATATATATATATATATATATATATATATATATATATATATATATATATATATATATATATATATATTTATATATATATGAAAGCGGAGCAACATGGCGAATGGGGCAAGATGTGTTTTCATATAACTTAAATTTGGGTGGAAACGAAACTGTATTTGCATTATGTATTTAAAAACACCAATTGGTATTTTTAAATATTATTAACGCATTTCTATACGCATAAATTTACTTTTTGCGCTTAAATAAAAATTCCTCAGTTTCGGTTTCTCATAATGGATGGTGTCCTTCAAGTTTAACTTCTTTAAAAGTAGTTTTTTGCGACTTGTGTTTATTTTGTGTTGCTTTAGTTAGAGTTGTTGGTAGTTTTTAAAATTGGAGGCAAAAGTTGCATAAAAAGTCATCTTGCTCCGGTCACGTGACCAGATGACAAATTTATAAACTTTTTATTTATTATTTATTTCAAATTGTTATATTCGCAAATTGAAAATTCATGCAGGCAATAAATCAAGCTTCACGACTGATAGTTTTGCAATAACTATTATGTTACCTCGCTTTTCCCTATACCAATGTAGAAAGCAAACAACTGAAGTGTTGTACATTATATAATAGAGGAGAATACGAGGCCGTAGACAACTTTTTTTGATGTTTGAGCTTAGCAACTTTGGAACATGAAGAAAACTTCATATTTAAGTATATTCTTATACATAAGGAATGAGGATACTGTGCAAAAAATTGCGGTGATTGGAGACTGGGAACAACAAAACCCCCTAAAACGTTAGCCCCCTTAGCCCCAAACAGGAGGGCAATTAGTCAAATTTGTAATTTTTTTTTTAATCTTAATCTTAAGTTATATTGATAGTCAAATTTCAAACTTGATTCAATGATCGGCTTTTATGACCTTATAAAGTTTACAGCTGCCTCAATTTGAGGGGGGGGGGGGGGAGATGTAAACTTTATAAGGTCATAAAAGACGAACAACAAAAGATTATTGAATTAAATTTGAAATTCATCAATGAATATAAATTAAGTTTAAAATTAAAAAAAAGTTACAAATATGCCTAACTGCCCTCCTGTTTGGGACTGGGGGTCTAACGTTTTGGGGTTCCATTCACCGCAATTTTTTGCATAACATCCTCATTCCTTATATTTATGAACATACTTAAATATGGAGTTTTCTTTATGTTTCAAAGTTGCTTAGCTCAAACATCAAAAAAAGTTGTCTACGGCCTTGGAATAAGCTAAAAGATAGAAATAGAAAAAACAATATTTGAATTAACGGCGTACGAGAAAAATAAAAATAAACATGGAAACAAGATGATAAAAAATGCAGAAAGTATGCGAGCTAAGAATGAATTCAGATGTTAATCTGAATGCTAAATAAATAATTACTTTTTTTATTTTCATTTTAATTATTTTTTAAATAGAAGAAAACTTTATATTTCAATTAAATTGACTGTTTTCTTAGAAATTAAATGTAGATAATAGAATACTATGATCCATTTTTAAAATATTTTTGTAAACAGTCTGAAAAAGCGTTTCCTAAGAAAAAAGTGTTATAAATACCAAAATAATTTTAACTCCATTAACAATTATTTTTATAGTTAGCGTTTACATTTTTTTTTTTCGCGGCAATGGAAGGACCCCATAAAAATATTTTTATTATGATATGAGTTTGTAAATTAAAAATCTTTATAAATTTTTACACTTCAAAAACACACTTTAATGTTTACAAAAAAAAAACTACCGTAGAAAAAAAAAAAAGAAAAAAGGGCTACGGAAAGTAAGGGCTACAGAGCTTATAGAGCAAGGCCGTAGACAACTTTTTTTGAGGTTTCAGTTAAGCAACTTTGAAACTAAAAGAAAACTCCATTTTTAAGTATGTTCATATATAGATGCTATGCAAAAAATTGCGGTGATTGGAGATGGGGAACAATAAAAACCCCAAAACGTTAGCCCCCCAGCCCCAAATAGGAGGGCAGTAAGTCAAATTTGTTATCTTTATTTTAGTCTTAAACTTAATTTGTATTTATCGACGAATTTCAAATTTAATTCAATAATATTTTTTTGCTCGGCTTTTATGACCTTATGAAGTTTACAGCCCCTTTAATTTGAGGGGGATGTAAATTTTAAAATATTGTAAAAGCCGAACAACAAGAGATTAATGAATAAAAATTGAAATTTGTCGATGAATAAAAATTAAATTTGCTAATAAAATAAAAATAAAAACTTTGACTCATTGCCCTCCTATTTGGGGCTGGGGGGGCTACCGTTTTGGGATTTTTATTGTTCCCAGTCTCCAATCACCGCAATTTTTTGCATATCATCCTCATTCCTCATATATATGAACATACTTAAATATGGAGTTTTCTTCATGTTTTAAAGTTGCTTAACTCAGACATAAAAAAAAGTTGTCTACGGCCTTGTAAAAAACAGACATAAAAAAGACATAAAAAACAGACATAAAAAAAAGTTGTCTACGGCCTTGACAATTTGAACCCCTATATTTATATATCAAACTTTTAAACTGTACTTACCTTTTCCGAATACTGCGATTTTCCCTTTTATCTTTCATTTTTTAACAAAGTTTCTGATCAAGTTCTACTAATATACTGAATTAGTTCATTAGTTCAATAGAAAAGTTGATATTAACCGAGCCATAAAACTTATTCCAGAATAAAAGATGTTTGAAAAATAAACTTCTAACTATGCGAGCAGCTAAAATGTCTCTATATTTTTGAAAAGTATTTATAAATTTCCAGAACTTTTCCCCACAAAATCCAAATTAGCTTTGAAAAGTAAAAACAAATTTACACTTTAAAAATAAATACAAAGTTTCAAAAAAGCATTTATAAAATTCCACTAAAAATATTTCCTCGAAGTGTTAATATTTTTAAATTTCATGATCGTTTGTCTTTTGAAAAAAAAGTTACTCTTAGATTGAGTAAGTTATGATACAAAAAGTTATATAACCAAAAAAGCACAAGTTAAACTAAAAAGTGTTTAAAACCTTTTTTTTTTTTTTTAAATAAAAACATGAAGTTTTAGTAGCTTGTATACTCTTTTATATAAAGATGCATCTATTATTCATTACTGTTGAAATCAATAACATCTTTTCGTAAAGAGTTTATTTTTTCGCTTTTTTTCTATGAAACACTTTTTATATCCACAATGAGATTTTATTTAATGCCATTGAATAAAAACTATTTAAACCGTTTCTATGCAAACTGTGCATGCGTAAATTAGTTGAAATCAACAATCTCGTAATTGAAAATGAAAATGATTTTATTAATTAATAATGAAATCATTTTCAGTATGCAGCTTCTTTCATATTTGAAAAAGATAACATTTAAACATAAAGTAAGCTTCAAACTTGAGTATGTTTATGCCTACACCAAATGAGAGCGCTTTGCAAAAAATTGCTGTGATTGGAGCCTGAAAACAAAAATCCCTAAAGCTTGTTACTGCCTAAGGGGTTGTCCATTAATGGCGTCAACAGTTTTCAGGCAACTTTTACCTCCTCCACTCTCTTTGCTAACAACCTTTCAAACATCCAGAGATCCCCTATTAAGTTACGTCAACATTGATTACCCCCTCCCCGCCCATTATAAAATTAAAATGGAAAAAAAAAATAGTTTAAATAGAATTAACCTTTTTTTAAGTAATTATATTTATTTAAAATAAAAAAATGACATTGTTGACGTCTTTTTTTATATATCAATCAATTGATCAATCTCATGTAATTTATTTCAAACAAATGATATTGATAGTTATTGACATTGATTCAGATCCAGACATAAATTACTTTATTGATTCAGAAACATTACAAAGAAAATGCTCGTATTTAAATAACAAGGAAATAAAAGAATTTCTAGGACGGGATCATTTTAATGTTGTTCATCTTAATATTAGAAGCTTGAAAAAAAAACTTTCACAACTTATGTAACATTGTAAAAAAAACTTCAAATATTGTTAGCATAATATGCTTAACTGAAACTTGGTGTGACTCTGATGACCCCAAATCTTACTTAAATCTCCATCTGGGAGACTTTAAAATGATCCCACTAGCATGAAAGTCAAAAAAACGAGGCGATGGTGTACTTTTTTATGTAAAAGAAAACTTGCCGTATATTATTAGGCCTGACGAGAGTAACTCTGATGACAATGGCGAAGTCTTAACAATAGAGATTAAAACCAGTAACACCAAAAATATACTTTTGAGTTGCTGTTGTCGCCCGCCATCTGGCATAATAGAAAATTTCAATACATTTTTATTTAATAATATTTTGACAAAAGGTTTAAAGGAAAAAAAACTTAACTATTTAATTGGAGACATAAATCTAAATTGTTTTGAATATCAAACTAATAACAACATTAAAATGTTTTATGACGATCTGTTTAAGAACGGCGCAACTCCATTAATAAACAGACCAACAAGAGTAACAGAAACATCAGCTTCCGTAATAGATAACATAATAACAACCGATATCTTTAACAATTCACTTAAAATAGGTATTATAAAAAATAACGTTTCTGATCACTTTTCTATTTTCTTTTCTCTAAATCTTGTTACCGAAATAATACAACAACAAAAACAAATTTTTATCAAACGCTTTTTCAATGAATCAAATATCGAATCATTTAACGATCAACTATCCCTACTTAACTGGAAAAATATTGACTCTACATTAGAAGCAAACGTAGTCTATAACACATTCTACGAAACATTTTATGATATCTATGACGCAAATTTCCAGATAATGAAAATAATAAAATCAAATAAAAGCCTTAAACCACCGTGGATCAATAAAGACCTCAGAAAGTCCTCAAAAATTAAACAAAAACTTTATATAAAAATTCTAAAAACCAAAACAATTGAAAACAAAACAATATATGAAAATTATACTAAACAATTTTAAAATAATTAAAAAATTGCACACAAAAAAATACTATTTCAATTTGCTAGAGAAACATAAACTCAATTCAAAACGCACTTGGCAAATTATAAGTGAAATCAGGGGCAAAACAAAACTTAAAATCGTGTTCTTTACCTACAGATATTAAAATTAATGATAAAATTATAGACGATCCTAAAGAAATTGCAAATGAACTAAATAAATTCTTTGTTTCTGTTGGACCTAATCTTTCAAAAAACATTCCAAATATGATAAATTCAATCAATAACTATGAATTTCCTATAACCTCTGGTCTAAGTGCCTTTGAACTATCATTTTCAGAATTTGAAAATGCTTTCAAAATGCTTACGCCGATCAAAGCAATTGGCCCAAATGATTTAAATGGAAACATTGTTGTTAAGTCATACGATAATATAAAAAATACTCTATTTAAAGTTCATAATTGCTCAATAAGTCAAGGAATTTTTCCGGCCCAAATGAAGGTTGCAAAAGTGACTCCTATATATAAAAGTGGTGAACTAACAAATCGCACCGTTAGAATTATCTTGTTCTATCTCCACTTTCTGAAAAAATTGAATTCATTAGAAAGACAATATTTAAAAATTCGATCAAATAAAATTTGATCGAATTTTTAAAATATTGTCTTTCTAATGAATTCAATTTTTAAAAGATTTCAATTCATAATTTTTAAAAGATTTCAATTCATTAGAAAGACATTATTTTGAGGAACACAACTTGTGTTCCTCAAAATAATGTCTTTCTAATGAATTGAAATCTAAGTTATGAGTAAAAAAGTTGCGGAAAAAACATAAGTTATACAAAAAATTTATACGCCGTCTCCTAAAGTTTTCATTTTTTAAATCGTTTTATTTCAAAACTAAAAAATGTGGAGATAGAACAAGATAATTCTAACCTCGCGAAATTTGGGAAATATCGCCTAATTTCAGTTTTGTCAGTATTTTCCAAAACTCTTGAAAGTATTTTATTTGATCGAATTTTTAATCATCTCTCTGAAAATAATATACTTTACAACAATCAGTACGGTTTCAAAAAAAATAACTCTACAGAACACGCAGTACTTTAACTCACAAGAATTATTACTAACTCCTTCAAAAAATCACAATTTACTTAAGGCATTTTTATAGACCTATCTAAAGCCTTTGATACTATTGATTACGGCATTCTCATAAATAAATTAGAACATTACGGTATCACTGGTAAAGTCTTAATGTTATTAAAAAGTTACTTAAAAATTCGTAAACAATTCATGCATAATGATACACACTCAACATCTACTACTTTAGATATTACTAATAATAAATTGTTACTATATGTTCTTTATTCACTATATGTATTTTTAAATATTATATCTTCTTTTTTGACTAATTGAGGGTGTTTTTACTTTTAATTGATACATCTTCTTTTTTCTATATTTTTATTCTTAAATATTATATCTTCTTTTTTACTATTTCTTTTTTTTTTCCTAAATTTTCTGCTTGATTTATTAACCATATATTACCATATATTATTGTTATGATATGTAGGGGCTCTATGAAAAGATTAGGTTGGTATTTTGCCATCCATATCTTCTTTGAGCCCCTGATTGTTTATTACTTGTACATTTGTAATTATATTTTATTTTTGGTGAAAGGAAATTTTAATTTATATAAACAGCAAAATAAAATAAAACTTAAAAAAAAAAAAAAAAAAAAAAGATATATCCTTTGGAGTTCCCCAAAGTTCCATACTTGGACCATTGTTATTTCTAATTTATATTAATGACCTCTATAAAACTTTTAATTTAATGGCAATAATGTATGCTGAAGATACTAATCTTTTCTTATCCCGAAATAACATCAATAACTTATTTAATGACATAAAGCTTTCACTTAATATTGAAAAAACTAAGTGGATTCTTTTTCATTCAGCTTATAAAAAGCATATATTACCAAGTGAAATGCCGCCGCTTTTCATTGATAAAATTAATATAAAAAGAGTAACTTATACTAAATTTTTAGGTATTATTGTGGATGAAAATCTTTCATGAAAAAACCACATTGGAAACCTAAATAATAAGATTACAAAAAGTATTGGGATTCTATATAAAACAAGAAGCATTTTAAATAAACATACTTTAATTCAACTATATTACTCATTAATTCACTACCATATTAACTATGCTGATATTGCCCAGGGTAGTACCAACAAAATTAAGTTAAAGCCTTTGCTTTGTCAACAGAAATATGTAGCACATCTTATTAATTTTAAAGATCGTTTTACTCATGCCAGGCCTTTATTATTTAACATGAATAGGGGAAGGTTGTGTAAGTTGAGCATGTTTTCAGTGTAATATATTTTGCTCCCAAAAGATTACAAAAAGATATATTTTTTTAAGAATAATGATAATTTCATCTTTCCTCTCAAAGAATATAATAAATAATTCATTAAAAAAAAATCTTTATACCAAAAATTGCGTTTTCTTCAACACACCCATTTTTTCTTAGGAAACCAGTTTCCTAAGTTGAGCTTTTTTCAATGGAACTTAAAAAAACTCAAAATAAAAAAAAAATAACCACAAAAAAAAATTAAATAAAATTTTATCTTCAAGGACTATACTTAAGTAAAAAGTAATTATCTCAACCAATAAAAAACAATAATAAATCTTTCTAATCTCTAAAAAAGTTAACGATACTTTTTTTTGAAAAAACTTTCGCTCTTGGAATACCAATATAAAGCTCCGCGGAGAATAACTTTAAAAAAACGCGCTTTTCTTAATAAAAAGGCGTATCTCATCTTGAGCGTCTAAAAACGTATCATCTTAAAGCTTGGTTTCCAATACACCAGTTGTACAACACCTGGTGTATTGGAAACCAATAGACATTTCTCTAATTCGATTGCGCAACTATTTCTC